GGGACAGTGAGCACAACTTCTAAATTATTTCTTCTAGCAAGAAACAATATCAAGATCGAATCTTGATCAAATCCAAGAAACTGGAGATCAAACAGGGTAGGGCGGCAAGAGCATAAAGAAAAAGAGCTGAAGGCAAGATCATTCTAATTAAGTTGTCTTCTCTCTGTATTGAATGAGTGTGAATTGAAGGTTCGCCCTGCTCTCTTATTTATAGCCTTAAAGAGACAATTTCCTAATCTCATTAGGAGTTTCTTGATCCAAATCTTTATTTGGATCTGGACTCTTTAAGTGATAAGGATAATCATTTATCTTATTTGCAGATAAAGATCAACCTTCCTAATCAAATTAGGAGTTCCTTGATCCAAATATGTATTTGGATTTAGATTCTTTAAGTGGATAAGGATAATCCCTTATCTTATCTGTTGATCCAAATCCCAGATCCGTCCCTATTTAATTAATCTAATTAACTTAGTTCGAAATGGACTTTTAGGCCCATTAAACTTTCAGGCTCACTTCCACTTTAATGCTGGCTAGCTTGGCTCTCTTTGTATAGCGTGGAACCCTGTCATTGATCTACACATCAGCAACATAGGTTCAGCCTAGCCTTTGTTACAAGGCCTGGCCGAATTCACTACTAAATACAGTGAACCCTGAGTCCATCACTATGGCTCTTAATGGGCCCAACATTTACACTAAATGGTCATTGGGTCCAACCATCTTATGAAGGCCCAAGTACTATGGGTAGATGCAAGATTAGTCCATCAGGTATAACCCTCAATGGTCTTACACTTAACCTCTTAGCCCATAATGATCAAACACTGCCCGACAAGAGAGGACCTCTCCCTTGGCCGCAAGGTGCAGTGCTGCACTCTTTACTCACATGGATCCCGAGAATTAAAACCTTTTACAAACATTTTGAAACCATAATATATATATATATATATATATATATATATATATTGCAAAAACAAATTTCAACGGGTGAAATCAACTACCGACAGTTTAGATGTCCATCGGAGAGAGTGCATCCCTGATCATTCACTTTGTCCGACAAAGGGGATGATACTGTCACTATGATCACCCACTCAGATGAATTCTTGGACTGTCCCAACATACCCATGCTTTGACCCCCTCTAAGGATCTCATTGATTGGCATATCAAAGACAGCCCAATCCGACACCTAGTGCAGTATCATAATCGAGTTTAGGGGTCAAGTGTAATATTCCAGTTTTGCACATCTATCTCCAAGGTCCAAGGCAATACTGGAATTTTGGTCCAATTCAGGGTTTCAAGAAAACCCACACTGCATGTACCTCAGGTCTCATCCTGACAGTTGAGACAAGCCACCCCAACCAACTTGGTAGTACATCAGTGTCAGCCTTGGCAGGATAAATCTCCCCAAATCTATCCAACGACTATGAAGATTTGAAACTAACACGAGTCTCATATATGTCCAGTTTAAGGGTATTACACAGAAACACACCATAATAACACGAATCAAATATGTATTTTATTCATTTACAATAAATGTCATAATGTACATCATGTTGATTGGAGCTAAGGGCAAACACTGTCTAACAAGTTCCACCCAAGCCAACCAAGGCCGGTTCTTTGGGTTGGTTTGGGTAAGGTATACCCCTAGACTCTAGAACTGACCTGGATGGCGGTTAGTTGCAAGAATTTGGAACTAGATCCCCTACTTGGTAACAAGTAGGGTAGGGTTTGTTCAAGGTTAGTTCCAATCGGTCCCTGGTAGAACCGACTCATTTTCTCACCCCTCGTTAGGCCTGTAAACAGTATTCAAAAATTTGAATTTGAATACGTGATTCGGCATAATCAAATCAGATTTGAATAGTTCGAATCGGATATTCAAATGAAATTGAATATATATTTTTTATCAATTAATTAATCAGATCGAATTCAAATATACATTGATTCAATCCGATATATAGCCGAACTAATTATATATATATAATTACATATATACTATATAAACAATAATTACTTTAATTGACAAGGGTATAGAGGTAAAATCAATTAGAGTTAGACTCCAACCCAACTCGACCCTTGATTGAATCATTCCATTTGAAAATTTTGAAAACCCTACCTCTCTACCCTCTCATCTTTCTCTTTGAAAATTTCCAAAATCCTAGTCCCTAACCCTTCACCACTACTGAGCTCAAGCAAACACCACCACTAGTGCCAATGGTCCAACACCGGTCACCACCTCACCAGACATCATTGTTGCATTGCTTTGCTCTTCAATAAATAGTCGTTCACTAGTTCGCTAGTCATTATAGGCCTACAATTGACAATCAACAATTGAAAGTCGTTTACCAATCGTTACAAGCCTACAGTGCAATCTATTTATAGGCCTACTTGAGTTGACAATCATTCGCCAGTTCAATAGTTTGCTACCGCCCAACCCAAGCAAAACAACCACCACTCTAGAACTAGCACATTTTGACATCGGGATGTTTTTTGGACGATAGATCCAGGTTTTTAATATAAAACTTTGATGCAAAGAGGGGATCCTTTCCACTTCCCCTTTCCCAAGTAATCTGAAACTCAAAAACTAATTCAACAGTCATATGTCTCTCTTCTTTTTCTCTAAGTAAGTTAGAACGATCTATTTTGGGATTTTGTTTCATAAGAAGCTTGAAAATGCTTCCATCCTCAACAATCGGTCAAATTCGAATTGAACCGAATATTCGACTTAATAATTGAAATCAAATTCAAGCCTGAAGTTTAGATATCTATTGGATTTCGAATTGAATTCGAATATCATGAATCATAACATTTGAATCTAACTTAATTCGATTTGAATCACCTCACCAGTTCAAACGTGTGGCCATACTTGAGTACGGCATAGGTCCATTAGAATTTTATGGCAAGTTTAAAGGTAGGCGATCTGAAATGGAAGATGTTGGTCCATTCTCAGGCTACGTTTGAAATCAGTGTAAAATGTATCGGTGTAAATGTACATTGAACCGTGAAAGTGGCCCTTGCTTTTTGAAAAAAAAATGATGGGTGAAGAGTGCAAAGTTTTACATTGATAAAATCGATGTAGTATTTACATTGATAATTGATGTAAAACATTACGTTTGATAGGTTTTACATTGATTATTGACGTAAAACTCCACTCCATCTAATCATATACAAAATTGAACCGAAGTAGAGTTTTACATTGATCATGATTGCACTCTCCTTTCAAATGCAGACAAAATCAAACCGATGTAAACTTTTACATCATTCTTGATTTACACCAATTCCAAACAAAGCCTCAATGTTCTTCTTTAGTGGTTAATAATGCACATAATCAATAGGAGAAAAAATGTGGCACCACGAACAATGCTCGAAGGGGAGTTCGGCTTCAGTCAAGGCACCGTTTGCGCATTCAAAGGATGCGTGGCGCGTCCTCTAAATCGTGTGAAGGGCTGAAGCATGCGGGGATGCTTCACCCCATTAGTGAGACTCGCCCTTAGTTTAAGGTAAGAAAAACGAACATTTTGTTCCTCTCCTTTCCTCTCCCCTCGCAGATGAGACATCTTTGCCATTGAGGAACTTAAGCATGTTGAACCTGTCATTGTATTGTGATGAAAAGCGGTTTTTCGGAGATAGGTGGTAGTTGATGGAGACAACCACGGCAGGGATCTCCTGTGTGAACCGATGGTAGATAGGATCATATAGGAATGAATTAAGGTGGAGTGTTGCAAACCTTCCACCGTGAAAGAAGAGTATAACCGGTAGGCTAACGTCGGCCGCGGGTTCCGTTGGAGTGTAGAGGTAGAACCAAAGGTCTTGGGCATGATCAATTGTTATATCAACACTCGTCAGACCATTACGTGATTTTTTGTTGGGAGAAATCTTGATATCAAAGAAGTTAAGGAGAGTGCGGTTGATGGTAATGTTAGGACGACAAGCGACGTCCACAAGAATGGACGTGGCAGATTAATAGATCCTAGGTATCAAGGATGGCAGAGATCCTTCTTAGCAGAATTGAGCGATGAGTTTAATGAGACCGAAGGATGAGGACATAGCAAAAGCGACAAAGAAAACATTGGAGTTGGAAGGTTGCCTGAAGAGAGTAGAGATGGAAAATCGAGCATGGCAGAGAACCGCCAAAGAAAAAGAGGCCATGGTTATAACCCTCACCAACATGCTTCAATAGGTAAAGGGAGAATGTCTGCTACTTTTCCTTTGGAACTGGAGATGCAGAGTCTTGTTGCGATTTCTCTTACGCATTCAACAATAGAGGAGGTGCAGCAGGAGGGTACAGAGATGAGAAGACAGGATAAGCCATTTTCCAAGACTAAAGAGGAAGAACAAACGAAAAAGATGACTTGCAAAGCCTGTAATTCTTGAGGGTCGTGTGTTCTTTTCCTTCCTTGCAGGCATCTCTGTTCGTGCGTGCAAGTCTTGCAAAGTCTTCCTCGATTACTGCCCTGTTTGTAAATCTCTAAAGAAGGCAAGCTGAGTTCGACTTTAGGAGAGATGCCTCGTTTGCAATAGGACAAGAGAGGAGAAGAGAGGAGGGGAGAGGAAACTAATGGCGAGTCTTGTTTGCGACAGGAGAGGGAGGAGAGATGTCTCGTCTGCGATAGAAGGAGAGGAAACTAATGGTGAGTCTCAGGGCCTGTTCGTTTCCTCTTAACTCTTATCTCTTAAGAGGAATCTTTTAACTTTAAGAGAAAAATGGTTGTTTGTTTCCTCTTATCTCTTATCTCTTAAAGTATAATCATACAATTTCTTGTTTTTCAATAATACCCCCAAAAAAACAAACAAAAACTCTCATATTTAGAGTTAAGAGGAAAGAAAAATTCACCAATACCGATATACCTCTTAATGTAATTATTATACTTTCAGATGTCAGACGAAACTCTCACTAACCAGACGAAGCATCCTCGCAAGCTTCAACCTTTTATACGATTCAGTGCGCGAATGGTGACTGACTCTAGGTGTTTCGACTGAGGCCGAACTCTGTGAGGGTACAAGTAAGAAAAAGAACCCTGCTAAATCCGAGTTCAACCCGAGTTCACACGCCCCACTGCGTCCCATAACACATCCAAACCGTGTATTGCGAACATCTTACAATGATAAGTACGGGAGATGTTCGCAATGCACGCTGAGATGTACATGTAAGACGATCTTGCTAAACCCTTCGGCCAGCATAAATATCTTCTCTGTCTAAACCCTCCCTTCGAGGTTTTTGATTCCTCCCGCTCTCTGCTATTGAAACCCTAATTTGTTGGGGTTTCTCTGTCTCTCTAAGCTCGATTTCTCACTCATCTCTGTTTCTATTTCTGGCATTTCTAGGGTTTCTAGGGTCATTTTCCGTTTCTTGGTTGAGAACTAAAAAGGGCCATCTTTTACAACATACCGGACAAGATGAATTTCCTCTTCAGGAAGTCAACTTCGATCGTTTCCATGGCGTCGAAGCAGACTCTCACTGCTTTGATCTCCATGGAGGCATTTCGAGTTCTTCAGTCCGCAACAGCGGCTGAAGCCGTTAGAAATGGTGTTTTCGGCGGTGAAGTCAGTTCATTTTCGTCTTATAAGGCGGCGGAAAAGCTTGGATTCGGGTTTGGAGTTAGGGGTTTTCATTTCTTGAGTAGGCCGTTAGAATTTAGGGCTTCGTCGTTTGTACAAGCGGAGTATGCTGTAGATGATTTTTCGGATGAGGAGAAGTCAGTGGGAAAGAAGGTCGGTGGAGATAGTGAAGAAGGACTTGATATCTCGAAGCTCGGGATTGCGCCGGAGATCGTTTCTGCTTTGGCTAAGAAAGGAATCACTAAGCTTTTCCCCATACAGGTATTCTTTTTGTTGCATTTCAAAGCCCTCTTTGTTTTGGATGGTTTTAACTTGGATTATCAGAGTTATTGTTTTATATTTATTTCTTGAATCTCGTTAGACCCCATGGAAATAGAACGTTGGAATCATGTTCCAATTGTCTTAACTTCATTAATAGTTTTGGACTTCGTTCCTACTTCTCATCATTTTGTTTTGGTCTGTCTTGCTTTCACTTAATTGGTTCTTCTGGTTAATCTATATAAGTAACCTTGAAAGAGTTGTGCCCCTACATCAATAAGATGTCTATGTATCTTCTATGCCCAGACACTAAATGTAACTGACTACTAACTGTTCAATCCGATTTTTAATCGAGTCATGACTAGTTAATTCTTGTTTGACATGGAACGTTAGTCATGGCAATCTTGACAAGATGAACAGTCTATGTGGAGGATGGGGATTATTTTTCTGTTCATTAGGTCAGTCAGCATGAGCACGTTTTTACATAAAGTTTTTATCAATCTCTTATATAGGCTTGCAACCATCACCAACCAAAAACATATGGTTTTTTTTCATTGAAAACTCTAATAAAATTTGTTTCTGTTTGGTTATTACTAGTTTATGTTCGACTATGGTGCAGAAATGAATATTCGTGACAGTGACTATAAAATTCTCGATTTCAACCAATCATGTAAAATACATTACATGGTCTACTTACTTTTCATTAGTTCACAATCCACAAGATGTACTTGCTATTAATGACTTGAACAACGTTAACGATGCCAACTGTGATGTGTCATTTTATCACTGGTTCATGCTTTTTGCTTCACATTGCAGTTTCTGCACCATTGCCTACTAGTTTTTATTTTGCCATGCATGATTTAATGAACAAGTCCAAACAATAATACCAATTTCTGTGATACCTTTTCTAATCATATTGCAATTTCATCTTTAAATTGTTCTGTTTAGATTATAGGAAGCCTCCTATCATTTTTGAAGTATCCTTTGTGAACACGTAATTCTACAAATATACTTGGGAATTATTTATTACTTCAGGCAAGGTGCCAACCAGCGGGTTGGTAAGGTCTCCTGCTGGTTGTAGCGGAAACTTGGGATCGAATCCTGCCTGCACCTGGGTTGGGGGATGGGCTACCCCTGTTGTGTAGCTCTTCAAAAGAAATAAAAAAATGTGTTGCTTCAGAATCTTAAAAACTGGATACTTGTGATTATCCTATCTAATTAAGTGTAGCTTTGGTTTCATTTTGTGGTAGCAAACTCATGATATTCTGTTAGCACTAAAGTTGACAATTATTTGTCATTTTTCCTTTTGCCTTTGTTTAGAGGGCTGTCCTGGAACCATCAATGCAAGGACGTGACTTGATTGGTCGGGCCAGAACTGGAACGGGGAAAACTCTAGCTTTTGGCATTCCCATAATGGACAGAATCATTCAGTTCAATGCTAAACATGGGTTTGTAGATTTCTGCCACAATGATTGAATTAGTTTTGAGTTTGAAGTATGAAGTTTGATCATGGTATCTTATGATTATGGTTGTAGATAGAGGTTTTTGGTGTGTGTTATGATTATTTTGTTTTTTTTCCAAATTGCATATTTTTCTTCATTTTCACAGACGTGGAAGAAATCCTTTGGCCTTGGTTTTGGCTCCAACAAGAGAACTTGCTCGGCAAGTTGAGAAGGAATTCCATGAATCTGCCCCCAACTTGGATACAATCTGTGTTTATGGTGGTGTTCCTATATCGCGTCAAATGAACACACTTGATTATGGTGTAGATGTAGTTGTTGGCACACCTGGTCGTATTATTGATTTGCTTAAAAGAGGTGCTTTGGTTTTGTCGGAGGTCCAGTTTGTTGTCCTAGATGAGGCAGATCAGATGCTTGCTGTGGGGTTTGATGAAGATGTAGAAGTAATATTAGACAAGTTACCTCAGAAGCGTCAAAGCATGATGTTCTCTGCCACCATGCCAAGCTGGATAAGAAAGCTGACACAGAAGTATCTTAAAGATCCATTAACTATTGATCTTGTGAGTATACTGATTGATTTCATTTGCTGTTTATTTGGTACTTTACTTATTTTGTTACTTTGATATTTTTTGGCAACATACATTGTGCTGTTTCATTATATGTGAATGCTAGCATTCTTGGCTTGTTGGTCCCAAAAGTTTCATGTTGTACCAAGTTCTTCTCATTCTTGGCCTGGGGTAGAGTAATTTCTGATGTCTTCAAAACATAACAGGGTGTTGTGAAAAAATAATGAGAAATACTTTTATTTTGATGAAATTATTGAAGTATTTTATTTGATTATCAGTCCATTTGGCTATCCTGCAATATACACTTGGGCATGTTGTATTTATATTTCAGGTTTTTCTCAGTTATCTTTTTATAAGTGTTTTGGTCATGCAAGTGTACTTTATCGTGGAGTCAATACAAAATGGTTCATTTAGTTGAATTCCCATTTTCAGTGTCATTTGTTATGCCTGACCATGTTTGGTGCAATACGCACTGTAGGTTGGGGATTCTGATCAGAAATTGGCAGATGGAATTTCTCTATATTCGATTGCTTCAGACATGTATGGGAAGGCATCAATCATTGGATCCCTGATAACAGTATGAATCTATAACCTTTCTGTTTATTTGCAGAAATTTTATGTTCTGGTTCTGGAATTACATCTTTGTTTTGCAACTGTTATCAGGAGTTTTGAATTAATATGATTATCCTCTTACACTGTCCTTACTAGGAACATGCAAAAGGAGGCAAGTGTATTGTTTTTACTCAAACAAAGCGTGATGCTGATCGGTTGGCACATGCCATGGGGCGCAGTTTTAGATGTGAAGCTTTGCATGGGGATATCTCTCAAAACCAGAGGGAAAGGACACTTTCTGGCTTCCGAGATGGACAGTTTAACATTTTAGTTGCTACAGATGTTGCTGCTCGTGGGCTTGATATTCCTAATGTTGATCTGGTAAGGTTTTTTTTTTTTTTGTTATTGTTTCTTGTTTTTTGTTTTTTGTTTTTCATTTCATTGTTTCTTGTCCGGTTTTTATTTGATTTTTCTTTTTTGTTTCTTTCTTGATGTTTAAAGTGATCCAAAAAATCTGTCTTAAGGCACATTATTACTGTGCTTGTGCTGCCATGAATGGTTGAAGTGTTCTCATTTCTTTTTCCTGCATATTTTCCTCATATGTGAAGAGATGTTCAATTCTTGGATCCTAGCCCAAAAAAAGTGCAAGCTTTTTTTTCCTTGTTTGTTCTATAAAGTCTTAGGTCATTGTTCATAATTGTTATATGGCCATAGGAGCAATTTAGTGGATATATTCATACATTGAGAAGAACAATGTGTACTTGGATGGGTTCATTTGGTCCACAAGGGATATGGATGTTTACGTAGTGGCTTTCTGTTGCCATAAAGGTAAAACCGTAAAACAGAGTGGGGAAGATGGAAAAAAAATCAAGTGACATGTGAACAAACATAATGGAGAGAAGAAAAATGAGTGAAATTTAGGCTTCTTATTTCTTACTAGAAATGATGTTTCTTGAATATAACTAAGATTTCTTTTAACCAGTGGCACTCAATTGGTTTATTATTTTGTTTTTAAAAGAATGATATTACAAGAAGAAATAAAAGACCATCAAGCATAGTTTTCGAGGCATCTAGGCGATTCTCGTTCACTGGGTTGCCTAGTCACCTAGTTGCCTAGGCAATGGGAATTTTATAATATAAAGAACTAACTTTTGGTTAGGTCCCTAGTTTTATATACCATTCAGCATGTATATTAATTGAAAAAAATAGCAATTTCTCTTTCTTAAGAACATTAAATTTCCTCTAAAAAAAGAAGCAAATCTCACATCTAAAAGATAAAAATCTTTTACATATATTAATTCCATTATTTTCAATAATGATACTACTATGATAAGTATTTAATAGAGCAATTTCATATCTATTGGCAGCTAAAGAAGGTTATTAACTTTATATGATAAATATTCAAGATGGAAAGTAAACTAGAAGAAACGAGGAATTTCTGTTTTATTTAATTAGAGAGAGAGAAAGAGAATAGAAAAAAAACCTCTTTATACTTATATTTTTTCTTTCCTCTTTCTTTTTTCTTTCTTTCTTTATTTTTCTCTTCTCAAAACACTTTGGTCTTTTAAATTTCAATAGTAAAACATTAAAACAAAGTATAAATGATATATATATATATTATATAGAATATAATAAAATGTATTGACACACATATTGTTAAGATACAACAATATAAATGATATTATATAAGGCACCCACCTTGTTTTTGTTGCCTAGGCGGGTGCCTAGTTGCCTAGAAGGGCACACCTAGTTGCTATAAGTCAAGGCGTTTGGGTGAGGCACCCAGCCAAGGACACCTAGGCAACACCTTGACAACTATGCACTGGGTCCATTCTGGAAGTTTTGGCTAGCTCAAGTGAGGCCCAGAGAGATTTTCTCAATCAAATCAATTAAACATATGATTTGATATCAGGGATTGAGAAAATCTTTTAAAATTAATTTGATTTCAATTTCTTTTCTTTGTTGACTAGTGTTTCCTTGTTTGGTTACATTTATTAGAAAGATTTACCTTATAAATCACAAAGAGATTTGATGTTCTCCTATACATAGATCATTGTAACATATCTTTAGAGAGTGAATGAATGAATGAAGAGTTTTCTCCATTGACGTGTTTGGTGCAGTGACTTAATTACATTGATGTGTTTAGTTTTGGTGCAGTTTTCTCCATTGATGTGTTTAGTTACATTTGTTAGAAAGATAATTACCTTATAAATATAAAAAAGATTTGGTGCTCTCTTATACATAGATCATTGTAATGTCTCTTTTGAGGATGGTTGAATGAATGGATGAAGAGTTTTCTCCATTTGATGTTCTCTCAGCAGGTTATCCATACTAATCCCAAGAAACTCCTCACATACCCGATAAACAATCTTAACTTCAATTAACTCAGCGAGAGTTTCAACTCTTTGCTCTTTGTCTTCAAACAACCTTGCATCCCCCCTCACTCCATACACCATAAGACTTGCATTTTACAATGCCACAATTTCATTTTCTTGTGACAACCTAGTAAAGCTTTAGAGAACAATTCCAAGATACTTTATGCAACAACCAACCTCTTACCAAATAAGGACAAAAAGTAAGAAAAAAGGGTAGGAAAGAAGATGATTGGAGGCACTTTCACCACTTGAGACAAAGAATGCACTCATGAGGGGAAACAAAAAACCATAACTTTCATGGGTGAAGGGCCAATCCACAAAGGTTTCAAAGGGAAATGAACAGGGAGACAATGGTGGTAGTTTCTAGAACCTTGACGAAAGAAGAAATTGAAAAAATACCCACTGATCTGGGGTCCTAAACCCTCTCATCGAGCCAGTAGAAGGAAGAAAAACATTGTCCAAAATAGAGATGAGGTTCACTGACTCTTCCATTTCCCTCTCAAGTAAAGCTCTCCTAACCTAAGTTCCTGGAGAAAGTAGGGAATATGAGGATCATATTTGATGGAATGAGAGAAAGTAGGCAATATGATCATAGTGACTTTCCAAGATACACCTCAGGGCTCAGGGTGATATTTATGGGAAGCCTTGAGTCCAACCCATTGGTATCCAAGCCATAAATACTTTCATCATTGAATGCCACAAATTACCCCTTTCCTTGGGAAAACTCCATAGCCATTTTTCTTAACAAATTGATATTTTCCTTTTTCAACCTCAACATTCAGCCCTCCAACAATCTCGGTTTGTGTCATTTTCCTACCTAGTCAAGTGATATTTTTTCTCATCCCTTGAATCTCAAAGGAAAATCCTAATAATTTTTTCTCTCTTAATAACCTTCACAGTAGCTTTGAAATGGGAGAAGCAATACATCGGAAGGCTGGTAAGAGTGGATTTGGTAAGGGGCAACATACCCCCTTTTGAAATATATTTCGTTTTTTAGCTGGCCAATTTTTTGGTAAACCTTTCAATGAGCACTTCTCTAGAAAGTACTATACGTATAGTACCCCCCAAAGGCAACCCAAGGTATTTAATTGGCCAATCTTTACTCAGAACCCAAAACACTTGCACACTCCTCTACTTACCTTTATTCTAGATGAATCCCCACTAACTTGCATTTGGATTGATTATTTTAATCCTGACACACTTATCAAAAAAATCTTGACACTACCTCAACAATCTCAAGGACCCTGCTCAAAATGAGAATATATTGCAAGCTTCTATGTGACCCCCAAAATTATGGTGTCATCTGCAACCTATAAGTGAGACACCACCCTCTCTCTGCCACTCTAAAGCCCCTCTAAAAAGATCTCTTTTGTCAGCTTCTCAATAACCTTCTGATCAATTCTACCAGAAGAATGAAAAGCACAGGAGAAAGAAGGTTTCTTTCTCTAAGTCCTTTTGATGCTCTAAATAAGCCTTTTAAGACCCCATTCACTATGATAGAGAAATGTGAAAATCTAAGACATCCCATAATCCAACCAATCCATTTCTTTCCAAAACCCATCCTCATCATCATCCATCTCAATGAAGCACCTTTTTTTATTGAAAATGGCATATTTTTTATGTCTTGTTGACATCAACTTTACAATTATTTTGTTCACTTGTGGTAATGCTGATTGGCCTAAAGTCATTAGAGGAAGCTGGACTAGGGCATTTTGGTATCAGGGAAATGAAGGTCATTGCTTTCTCAATTTTGCCCCTTTCATGGAACTCGTTGAAAACCTTCCTCAAATTGGACTTAGTGACTTCTAGCTTTTGTGAAAGAAAGTCATGGTGAACCCATATGGTCTAGGAGCTTTGTCCCTGCACATCCCCATCACAACTCTCTTAATCTCTTGTTCAATAAATGACTCTTCCAAACTATACACCTTCGCCTCTAACAATTTATCCCAAGCATATCTCTCCTCTAAGTGTCATCTTTTTACCCCGGGAGCCAACAAACTTTTAAAATGCAAGATAAACATTTCCCCAATTTCTTATGCCAAATTTTATTCGTTTGCCTTCTACCATTTTCCATTTGCTGAAAAAACTTGATATTTCTGTCACCTTCCTTTATCCATCAACATCTTCATTTTTTATGTCAGTTGATCTCTTCCTTTTTGAATATTGGCTCTAATTCTATTATTAATTAATTCTCTCTTCTCTGTCTTCCCCAAAGATAATGGTTTCCTCTTCCATCTCATTTTTATCAATTGTTTCATTTTTTTTTTTAACTTGAATTTTGTTCTTAGTTTCAATTTTCTTTATCAATTGTTTCAATTTTCCTTTTTGATGGGGAATCCCCAAAGGAGCAGATCACTTTACCAATTCTCCAATCAGTAAAATAGGGCAATGATCTGAAATGGCCATAGTGGTCCTTCCAACTGTACTCGTTAAGAATCTATCCAACCTACAACAAACTGCATTTTAACTAAATATTTGACCATGTGTACTTGGCATTCACCAACAATATATCCTTTGACATAAACTTGTAGGTGAAATTATTAAGGTGTCGTTTGACAAATCTTTTAAGAAGATCTTCTAGCAGCCTAGATGTACAAAAGACAAACCAAGCTTTTGGGGTCAGGTCTTTAAAGACAGACTGTTTGGTAAGTGGCTTTGTCTATCGGGATTTTCAAAAGATATTTAAAGGCTATATATTGTGTGGAAAGACCAGGAAGCTTTTGGGGCCTTGTCATGAAATTTGGCATTTTTGGTCTTTTTGGGTCTTTCTGCACAAGTGTCTTATGGGCTTTCTGGCTTTTCGTTACCAAACAGAAAAAGACCGATTTTTGGTCATCTGAGCTTGCTGAAGCCCAAAAGACCATTGCAAGAAGATTTGCCAAACACTGCCTAAATTTCCTCGTACCCAAGCCTTTGTTCCCCCAACTCTTCAACAACTCTTCCCCAAATTGATCTCTTTCCCTAGACGAAGAAGGGCCATATACATTGGAATGTGACCAAATAAAACCATCCATTTTATCTATCAATCCGACTCATGGTTTTCAAGGCGTCTAGGCGATTTTGGGCGACACTGGGCGCCTAGTCGCCTAGGCAATAAAAATTTTATAACATAAAAAACTAATTTTTGGCTAGTTTCCTAGTTTTATATTCCATTCAGAGAAAAGAAGTCTAGCTGACCTGATTTTTATCTTGTTCAAAGTTGAATCCTTTCCAGTTGAGGGTTATTTGAATTTGATCCATTTATAATGGGATTGAATATAGACACTCCTTTTGATCTGGTACAATCTGATTCTGTTGTATTTAAACATGTATGCTTATTTGTGCATAAAATTTATATTGTATGCACTAGTAAAGTTGGTTCATATGTTGTATGCACTAGTAAAATTTTCAATATCAAGGTCATTTTTACTTCACTTTATCAATAATGTATAATATTTTGATCATTTTTAGTTTAATTTATTAATGATATTCAATTTCCAAATACATACTGGTGTCACATAATTGTCATGCCACATTGTATGGGTTCTATTGCTATTTTTATTCTAATTTTTCTCTTGACTTTTCCTTAGGTGATACATTATGAACTTCCAAGCACATCAGAGATATTTGTTCACAGATCTGGTCGAACAGGTCGTGCTGGAAAGAAAGGAAGTGCAATTCTCATCTATACAGAACAGCAGGCCAGGGCTGTCAGGATGATTGAGCGGGATGTGGGATGCAGGTTTACAGAGGTTAGTGCTGATTCTCTTTTTATACACTGACAAAAACATTCCCCATTGCGCCCTGTCCATCATTCTTGGGGATAGAAAAACAAGCCATTAACCAGAACCATATGAATATTAATTCCCCTTGGTGTCTTTGTAGGCTGTAGCCCAGATAAAATAATATTTGCAACTATCTGTTGAATGACATACATAGCTATGACCTATGTGTGTGTGTATCCTAACAACCGTTCACCTAAAGAAAAAAAGTAAGAACATAGGTTTTCCCATGTGAAATATTTCTCAGGATTGTGCACTGATTTTTATTTTTCTTTTTTTTTCCAATTTTTTGGGTGGGTGGGTGGTTCCTGTGAACAGTGGAGACTAATTACTTCATGTTTGCCCTTGTCTATCTTCAGCTACCCAGGATTCCTGTTGACCCAGCAAACCGTGATATGTTTGGTGATATGGGTGGTGGTGGTAGGTTTGGCTCTCATGGAGGTGCAGGAGGTGGTCGGAGTGATTCAGGTTTTGGTCGTGCTGGTGGCTATTCTGGGTTAGGACGCGGTTCTGGTTTTGGTAGTCCATCAGGTCGTATGGGTGGACATGGTGGATCAAGTTCAGGGCGATTTGGTGGTGGTTTTGGCAATGATGGCCCCAGTAGATCTGGTAATTTTGGTCGGTCAGGTGGCTTTGGTCAATCCAGTGGTTCTGGTCGTTCCAGTGGGTTTGGGGAATTTGGTTCAGGTCGCTCTAGTAGTTTTGGTAGTTCTAGTTCAAGTCGATTTGGTGGTAACTTTGGTAACTCTGGTTCAAGCCGTTTTGGTAGCTTTGGCGATGACAATGCTAGTGCGGATGAGGATCAGAGGTCTGGCAGGAGATCATTTTGATTTATTTCAAGGTATGTTCTTCAAGACTTTTTTTTATCGGATAGTCTGAGAATGTTCTGATATCCAGCACACGGAACTATTTAATGGCATTGTCTTGCAGATTATTTGCATTTTCATGTAATTTATGTTTAGTACTAATGTGAGTCTGATTTCTCTGATGGCATATCCAGCTAAAGTGTCTGGATGGGCCTTCTTGTAATACCTGCTGGCTAAAGTGGGTTGCAAAAGTTCTCCATGTGTTCTGCTCCCATGGTCCCTATATGGAGTTTCGGCTGGGTAGCGCTGTACAAAAGGGCAAAAATACTGTTCTTTACTTGAAAAACGATATAAGGTGAGTGATTTGGGCTTCCCCTAGTGTTTTGATTAATGGGGTGTCCTCCTGGGTGTAAGGACAAAGTACTCCTGGTGTGACATGAATTTACCCTTATTAAATGGTTCTTTTGATCCCAAAGACCCTTTTTTTTTGTGCCTTTGCAAAATGGAAAAAGAAAGATTAGGGGACACCCAAATCACTGCCCAATAATAAGCACGTGTTGTAGGAATCTAATACGGTAATGGGGCTTTTCTTAGAAAAGGCAGCTTGCTCCATGTACAGTTGTTTTCTAAATTGCCTTTTGGTATCAATTTGACAGACTCACATTACTATAGAAGAATATGGACTGATGCACAGACACTATAATAGTTGTTTTCTGAAATGCTCTTCATTTTTGCTGCAGTGTGGGATTGGGAGACAGGCTAAAGGATTACTGGAAAACGACGGACAGTCATACTATGTAAAGTTGCTTTAGCGGTGTAGTTGGCAGTGGGGTGGTGTCATGATTTTCTTAATGTTTTAAGTGACTCTAGATATCTAGGCAGATATTTTGCTGGTGATATTATATTACAAGTTGAGGAAGAAAATAAGCTCAAGATCGAATCATACAATACATGGAAAGCAGGAGAGCTCTTGTAATCTATTTCAAATCATGGAATTGATGTTTTTTCTCTTCATTGATCTTCATCTTTTATGTTATTATCCTTGCTCTGTTATTTCTCTCCGACCATCTGAATTTGATTGCATGTTTGCATGCGGTGCTGGTATCAGTTTACTGTTGGCACTGGTTGTACAAGTCCAGATTAGGCGTAAGAAAACTATTTGAAGCTAATGATTCTGTCTCCTTTGCACTTGAATTTGAATTCAATCCCGATCCATTTAGTTTATCTGAAATCATTTCTTTAATTCGATTGAATAGGGGTGTTTTTGTTTCCAAAAAATCAAACTCATGTTGAACATGGGGCCACAGGAACGAGTTCAGATCTTGCTGATGTAGTTTTTGTTTTCTAAGACAATCTTTGTACAACGCCCTCTAAATATGTTTTGTATGCGAATGGGGGCACTGGGAACAAGTTTAGAACTGCTGTAGAATATAATAGAATCTTAAGATGTATATTCAATGAGGGGCCACCACCTGTCCTCTACGTGGGGGAGAGTTTGAGGGGTTCTGTTGCAATTTTGTGATTCTTTTGTTTTGTTATAACAACTTATAAGACAAAACCGATGACAGTAAGTAAATAACCAATCCATCCGTTCGTTATAAAGAGCCGGCAAAAACGATGATACTCAACGTAAGGCTCCATTTAGGAGTACAAATACAAATATTAGAGAGCAAAATCTTATATTTTGTATGGATTTATACTGTACATAGGGCAATTACTGTGCGATTCCAAATACTGAATCGAATCCTTGGGCCGCCATTTGTCCCATTTTCCCTTCTCTTTTTTGCTTCCAAGAATGTAAGATTCTACACCCCACTGTTAACTTTTTAAATATTTATTTTGTTTTATTTTATTTTTTTAATTTCTCAAAACACTACACTTGGCTCTCTGCCGGTTTTCCCTCCGAGATTAGCTTCAGTTAGGGCTCACACCGTCCAACAGCCTCTTGTAACCTTGCATCAGGAATATCTCCTTATGAAATAAAGTACATGAATAGGGAAATATTTCTAATGCAAGGCTGTGAAAGCTGCTCAAATGGGCATTACCCTGACGGAAGCCAAACTCCTTCCCTCCCAGTCTAAGAGCTTCGTCGTCTTATTACGGCGATGCAGAAATATGTAGATTTTTTTGTTTTGCTTTTATTTTAATTTTTTTCGTAAAAGTAATAGATAGAAAGATTGAGAAATGAATCCCTGAGATGGATATTGATATGGTTCAAAGTACTCCCCTTCATTTCCACACAAAATACCTTGCGACTTGTTCGTTTCTCTTCACGCCTGAACTGCTATACTCAAAACCATCTCCTACCCTATGTTGTCATCTTCTATTTTTCAGTCTTGCATTAGGTTACCCAACCTTTCTTACCAGTTACCACTACCACGCCATCACTCCATTAGTGATTCACTCTTGTTATTATTATACTTGTACTGCTTTTAAGAGATTACTTAATCCAACTTAACAAAGCAAAAAGCCAAAAAGCAGGATCTGAATAAGTAAAAGGTACTTCTATCTGTACCCATATTCTCTTACAGACTAACACTACCGGGTTTAGTCCTTTTTGCTAAATCTGTTAAAAAATAATCTTTCTTATCATCTTAAACCTAACTTTGTTTCTATCATATTAACTAGATGAACCTGAACCTGTAATCGACATAATCAATCATCTGAATGTATCAGCACCAATCATCAGAATCCATCATGATACTGAGCTGTTGGGAAGCATCAAGCAGGATGAGCCCTCTTCTCCTCTCCCATCCGCCCCTTTGATCCTCAGACTCGGATTCTTGCTTCCTTCCAAACCGTTGAGTCCGGTACCACTCATACAAGTATATCCCTGCTCAAAAGTCCAAGCCCAACTCTAGCAACGAAAGTCCTGGTGGCAGCAGTCTAATGTTTATCACTGTCCATAAGAAGTTAAGGATTGGTTGATTTAAACATACAAATATATTATTAAAAGGGGTAATTTTGTTCCATCCAAATATCGACAACTTTCTCCCAGATGAAAAAGTTACTTGTCGTCTTGTCCACTTGAGAGATAAGTATCACTTACCTATATAAGTAATACCCAAGGAAAATGAATTTTCTATAAATCCTACATAAATCTAAAAAAATAAATAGATATCACGGTCAATGGAAACCAAAATCCTATTGACCGACTTTTCCACTCTCAAAATCTGAAAAACAAGATGGACCCCTAGAGTTTGCTGATCCTAATGACAGCTGAGTCCAAATCTTCTTTAGGAAGGAGAGGGTTAGGAATATAGGACATTTAGTTATTAAACCATAGCTTTGCTAATAATCTATCAACCCATGTAAACCATAACTTCGCTAATAATATACCAGCCAATGTATTATATATTTAATTTAAAAACAAATAAAAAACAACTACTATATTTTATTTACTTCATTAATTTTTCTATATTATTCTTTTAGCCCCTATTTGGCATCACTTAAAATAAGTGTCAGGATCACACAATAAGTGGCAAATAAGTATTTATTCCTGTTTGGCAAAAATAAGTATGCCTAGGGCTGCTTATTTTGGTACTTAAAAAGAAACAAGTGCTTATTCTATTTTTCTGAATTTTGAAACCAAGACTACCTTGTGAATGGAGAAAACCCTATTGTCTTCTCCATTTGCTCAGGTCACTTGCAGTGGCGTAGGGAGTGTCCTAGTGGGGCAGCTAGCAGCTAGTTCTTCAACTTGGATCTCAGGAATGTATGTTCTTCATGTTTTTACTTGTTCTTGTAACATTTACATGCTGTTTTGGATTGGTTTCTGCTATTTTTTCTTTGTATGAAACCATAGATCTAAGTTTGGGGCGACCAATGCACAACATACTGTTGGTGGTTCGAGGTAAGTTCTTTTCTAACACTTTTTTTTTTTTTTATAGTTTATAGCTTTATACAAATCATTTGGTATTTTTTGCATATTAATGTGAATAATATGCCATTACCCGATTTGTTTTTATTTTTATTTTTTACATACTACTGTGAATAATATGCATTACTCGATTTTTTTTTTGCATACTACTATGAATAATATGCATTATCCTTTTTTTTTATTTTATTTTGTTGCATACTACTGTGAATAATAATATGCAATTACCCAATTTTTTGGCATATTACCGTTGATTGCAATTTATTCCTAAATTATTTAGCAAAAAACAAAAAATTATCACATGTTGATTGGAAGGTTAATTCGGATTTTGGTGCTTGAATTGTTATGTTTTTTAATTTTTATAAATTTTTGATATGTTATTGGAATGTTATTTATGTTACATGAATGGATTTGTTATTATTATTTTTTGTTAACAATATTACAATTGTATTTATTGTTAAATATTTTATTACAATTATAATTATAATTAGGGAAAAATCCCGATTAGTACCTTGTACTTTGGGCCTAGTGCCATTCTGGTCCCCAAACTTTCAAAATGTGCCAATCCAGTACCTGGCGTTAACTAGCTGTTAAGTGACATTTGAAAGGACAAATACCCTTCGAGTTTCATCTAATTTTCTTTATCAACCATCCAAACGTTGAGAAAAAATGAACAGTCTCAAATCCTTACTTCTTCTATTCAAGAAACTTGGGGCCACCAGAATGCCCACAAAAGGAAGCCCAGAACACTTAAGAGTACAGACTATGCGGTGTGGAACAAAAGACATCGTGTAGGGTTTAATGTTGATCCAGATTGTCTCAGTGGTGACAATGCTACCAGCATGAATTTTTAGTTTTCAAATGATCTGTAGACACCAAGAATTTTTAGTTTTGCACCTCTGTTTCATCTTCTCGAGGAAGAGGATGATGGATAGTGATTTGTTCCCAAGAGTAATTTTGATATTTTTAAAAGCTTTAAGTTGCACATGATGTCACGTGATACATTAACTGACAGTTGGTTAACAGTAGGTAGTCTACTAATACTATTGTAATTATTGCCATTATTCATATTTTATTATTATTGCTATTATTCTTATTATTATGTGTTCTGTTGGTTATCAATATTGTTTCTTATTATCAATAACATTATTATTTTTATTATTACTATTATTATTAACAAATTTATTGTTACTATTATATTATATGAATTATTGTTATTGTTATTATTATTTTTATTATTACTATTATTGCTAATAACAATAATAGTTTTTATTATTATTATTGTTCTTTTTATTTTTTGGTAATAGTGCCACACACGTGTGTACCATGTGGGTCCACGTCTAGTTCTACATGTGTTACGTGTGGGCTCATGTGTATCTCGAGGGGTATAGTAGTCATTTCTATGGAAATAGTTTAATATAATGTTCAAAAAACAACATTTATATGCATTTGTGAAGTAGGGGCTAAAAATGTCATTTCCACAAAAATAAGTACTTATTGGTCAAGTGGCTCACCAAACAATGTAACCCCAATAAATACTTATGTGGTTTGGGAAAGGGGCCACCAAACACTTATTCAAATAAGTACTTATTTTTCAAACCACTTATTTGCCAAACATAGTCTTATTAATTTTGCAAACTACAAAAAAAAAAAAAACTAAGTCAATGGGTAACTTCATAAAAATTATTAATGTAAATTTAATCAATCATGTAAATAATTAATAAATTGTTATTTATTTATTGTAAATTAAATTATTAATTAATAATTATAGAAATATATAGTTTTAATTTAAAAGATATGAAATTCAATGAAATTTCTAAGATATATTTCATATCACATGCAATTCATAAATTTTAATTATTAGAATAATTATTTATTTTTATTATTTATATATTTTTTTATAAATTATCCTAAAATTGAAAAAAAAATCATTTTTTTGACATAAATTATTGATGGATCAATAAATTTGATAGACCATCCATAGATCTATCTTGTAGTTCTTTCACCAAAAGTCATCCGAGTTAATAATTTACACCAATAAGAAAGTGCCATGTTCTACTTTGAGGGGCAATCTAGTAATTTTCTCTCACATCGGAGGGTAGACTGCTAATTTTGCCAAGCGCCTTTGAACGTGATGTGCGGGATAGTAATGGATGCCCAACACGTGGACCAACCGACCAACTTCACTTGGCCATTAACACTTGTGCGGTTATTGCGGGATCGACCTAGAGATCCAGATCCAGTATGGATTCACTATTACAAAAAGGTAATAGGATCTTCCGTTACTCTCGT